TTATAACCGTTCTAACTTAGCCCCGTCTTACACGGGTCCCTTTCTCTTCTATATCACCTTCCCCAAACGTGGTATTGGCTGCGGACTCTTTACTACTATATACCTTTATAGAGTCCCCAAACAGGCAGATAGTATCCCAAACTATTACTGCATTTTCCTTTTTGGTCCGTTTTAGCACGGGCTGTTACTTATTTCTTCTTTCTTTTTTATTATACTATGTGATTCCGTTATTTTTCTTTTCTTTTCTTTTTTTATTTTTATTTTTCTTTTTGACCCTACCAATTTCTACTCCAGACACAATCCCTTTAGTGCCTTCATTCCATAAGGCAAGGCATGGTCAACATTCACCATTTGTGCTGTTGCTATCCTACCAGTTCAATTGAATTTGCAGTTGCAACCCTTTTTCATTTTTAACTGCTACTTCACCATCGTCATCGTTGTCTGGTGCAAATCGGTCCCAGAATCCGTCCGCCTTTCCATATGCCTCCGGCTCTGGCTCCGCTTCCGTATCCTTACTCTTCTATACCGGGTTCGATCACTCCCACTCTTCAACATAACTCTCAGTCCGGAACGTGTGAAAAGCAGCAACAACAACAGTCTCTGGATTCTACTTTTAATAAACCCCATCATAACTGGACCGCTCCTTGGAGGGCCGGTCTACCAACACCTCCCAGCGAAATGATGAACGGGGTTGCCTATAACGCCTATCTTCCTTCAAATCCACTTACCACCACTGCGACGACCAACCCAACCAACTATGGCAGCAATCGAAATGGGCTCTCGATGCACTCGTACAGCAATTATCCCAGTCACTCTCGTTCCAATTACGGTTCTTCATCGTTGTCCTCGGCTTCTGCGGCCGTGTCTAGCAAGCCCCAATACCAACTAGCGTCGTCCGCCAAGCCTGCCGAATCAGTCAGTCAGAAGAAGTCTTCGCTCCCCTCGTATCTGCAGATTCCCTCGTCCATCAGTGACTCCAATGGCAATCTCGCAGAATTTGCAGCTCAGGTATGATTTGACTTGCTGGTGAATTCCTGGTGTCAAGTGACAAAAAGACTAACTACGTTGATTGGTGCTATAGATGACATGTCTGTTCTGGTTCGAGAGCACAGCCAAGTTGAACGCGATTGAGAACCACCTGGACAGCCTCCCGACCCTCGTTCCCGAAGTCATTCCCGCATTGGGATTCCAAAAATGGGTGACCACGGTCCTGTCGACGACGCAAGTGAGCCAGAACGTCATCTTGTTGGCCCTCATGTTCATCTACCGGCTGAAGAAGTTCAACTCGGGCGTCAAAGGGAAGAGTGGAAGTGAATTCAGACTGTTGACGATTGCTCTGATGCTAGGAAACAAATTCTTGGATGACAACACTTACACCAACAAGACGTGGGCTGAAGTGTCGGGGATATCGGTGCAGGAGATTCACATCATGGAAGTCGAGTTCCTGAGCAATATTCGATACAACCTCTTTGCATCGGCAGAGGAATGGACCGAGTGGCATTCCAAGTTGAGGCGGTTCTTCGAGTTCTACCACAAGGCTTCTTTGGTTCCTGAGGGCAGTGAACAATTGCTTCCCAAGACTCCTCCCGCGCTCCGCATCTCTCCCAGCCTGGGACCTACGCCTCCGTTGCCGTCGTTGTCTCCTGTCTCGAAGCTCCCATCGCCCCCGGTAAACGAGTCGTTGCGTGCCCTGCCAAACTGGAACGTTCCCATGAACAATGGCTCGTATGCACCTCTCCCCCGGCTTGGGAATGAAATCCCGCCATCCGTCAGTTCCCGAAAGCGGAGCCGTGATGAACCGATGGAGGAGCATCCGATGAAGCGAGTAGCCGTATCTACCAACCCTCCTGTCGCGACCCTTCCGCCATCTTCCGCTCTCCCCAGTATCCCGACGCTTCCGCCGGTGTTGACGCCGACTTCTGCTCCAGCTTCGCAGGCACCGATGGCGAGACCAGTTTCCCAGCTCCCACGACCCAACATCCCGGCCACCTCCAACCTGGCTCCTAACGTTCCCTCTTCCCTCTCGCATCAACTCCCTCCGGTCTCTGTCCGGACGGTGCCTTCGTCGTACAACACACCGACGTCTGCGTCGAACTGGGCTCCACAGATGTCGTCGACCACCGTACCGTCCATGTCGAACGGCATTTACACTACGCCTCTGTCTCTGCCGGACCCAGGACGACACCACCTTGGCGTTTCTTCGGCCACCGTCTCGCCGGCGTTGTCAGCGTATTCCGTCCACACATCTCCAACCCATCTGTCACCGTCCTTCTGGCTGGCGAACCGGAACTCGCCCTATCGGCCTGTACGGTCCGTCAACACCCTGCTGATTCCTCCGCCGTCTGCATCGCTTCAGCAAAACCGACCTGTTCCCTACGATCATATGCACTATCAACCATTGGGAAAGCCAGCAGCGGAGCGCAGAACAGGCCTAGTGCCTTATCTTCACCAGGACGCATGGCCTCAGGGGCCCATTGTTCAACCTGTCTTCCACCCCACTCCAAACTACTCTGGTTGAGAACCCCCCATTTTTACGCATTTTTTACGATTTATCTTACGACGTTTCGGATACAAGATATCTTTTTTTGCCTTCTAAGTGTATATATTTTTCTGTTGATTTATTTCCCCTTTGCTTACGGCCTGGGATTATTATGGCGTTGAACATCATAGATGGTTATCTGTCGTCTTTTTACTTTCTACTCTTCTTCTTCTTTTTTTTTTTTTTTTTTTCACTCTGTTACTCTGTTTTTGTCAAGAGTACGTCCTCGAGGGCAATTTGTTCAGTTCTATCTCATTCTATGGAAGGGTGTCGCATGACTGGCGTTGCATATTTTACTATTTTCTTGTTGCTATACCTTTTCATGTCTATCTAGCTGCATTTGCATTGCATGTCGGGTGACTAAAATTCAACAAACCTCCAGATGCAAGGATGATTGCCTGGAGAGATACTTAGATGTACAACACTTTTGAATGCGTCTTGTAGAATGGAGTAGATTCTGCTGGTTATTTTAGGCGGTGGAATGCGGTCATGACTTCATTTGCCAGGCGGTGAGAATACTTGCAAAAAGAAGGACAAACGTCTGTCTACTTGGCTATTCGGCTGGTGGCTAGTTACGGTATTTCGCCCAGAGCAACAAGGTCAATTGGAGAGAAATTTTTGTAGATAGTGTTGGCAAAAGCCGAATTCAATCTTGTTTTGTTCAAATAGCATATCTGTTACTAGATAAAGATAAATCCGGCCTGTAGTACCAGGGGTAAAGCTGGTCAGGAACGAGCGGCATACCATGTTGAATGGTGAAGAGACCCAGAGCGTCCAGAGCAAGCCATGTTGGATGGCGTTCGAAGAAAGAGATGTCGACTAAAACCAAAAAATAACAGGCATATAGGCAGTCTCGTACCGGATGCACCTCAGTGATCATCTAGTAGTCATCGCCGCGACTGATAATCTCCTTGCTGGACTCCCCCAGCAGAAATGTCTAAGGATGTTATGTTAGCTGTGTGCTTAACAAGAAAGAAGAGGATCATACATGTTCAAACTGTGCCGAGTACGATCCTTCGACATCCATAAGCGGCGCGTAGACCTCTACAATGCCTTTGTTCGCCAGTTGGTTCATCTACTCCCATAAGCACACTGATAAATTTCCAGGAAGATGGGTACTTACACCGGCCAAATACCGCTGAACTCCAAGCCGTTCGAGATAACGGCGGCAAAAGACAAGCGTGCCGAAATGATCGTTGATTGTCTTATACAGAGATCTGGCTGAGGCAAGAGGCGATGTGATCGTCTTCGGTGCATCCAGCTCCTTTCCATACCCATAGACGCCAGGCTACAGCAGATCAGCATGTTTGCCTCTGAAATTATATGAAGAGAACTTACCCCATCGACTATATACCCACGCCCTGTCGACCCAAAGGTTTCAAGAGCAAATACCTCTCCCTCCTCCATCTTGGTTTGATCGCTATTCTTGACGAAAGGGATGGACTTTCCACCATGGATCTGATACCACTTGATGTTGTGCCCGGTGATGTTCCGCACCGGTTTTACAGGGAAGGTTTTGCTGCCAATTTGAACTTCATAGCTTTCCATCGCTTCCTGGATGGCAGCACTGACATCGCTGATCCGGACATCAACTCCAGCATTCTAACAAGCATTAGCGATACTAGAGATGCAGGATAGTCCCGGAAGTATAATGGTTATACCTTGATACCAGTGTTTGTAGCGTCCTTCACTGCAGCGAGCAGATTGTCATATGTTGGATCGAATGACATGGTGAACGCACTATCAACTATCCAACCGTTGATATGGACACCAAAATCGACCTTCATTACGTCGCTCTCCTGTAGGAAGATTTCCTTCTGGCCAGGATTGGGCGTGTAATGCGCAACGCAATTATTCAGCGCCAGCCCGGTGGGAAATCCCATTCCTGACTCAAGACCCTGTCCAGCTTCGAGGCCGGCATTGTCGAGCAGCGCTCTAACGCCATCTTCGATGCCCACTGCGATGTCTGTGAGAGCCTGACCGGGCCGAACACTGTCCTGCACCCAGCCCCGGACCTGGCGATGGACCTCTGCTGCTTTGCGATAGTCGTTGAGAAACTTGTCATCGTGAAGGTGTGTGCGGGCCAAATAGCGGTCCTCCTCAGCTGTCGTGCGCGCCGTATTCTCGACCACGGGACTATAGCTCTGAATCTTGCCGCTTGGATACTGGCCGCTAGGGAAGAGATTTGCCAAAGGAACCCGTGGTGGGAACGACTGCTTCACGGATGAAGTTTTCTTCTTGGGTTTCTTGTTACGTTTCTTCTTCTTAGAAGAAGTTGACGGTGTAGCTTGGGGTGTCAGCGAGGTAGCAGGGCCGGCCTTGTCCCCATCATCGTCGTCGTCTCCGCCATCATCGCCCAGGGTAACATCGCCATCCCGGGATAGGTGTGTGCCTCGTGGTTCGCCGCCGGCGGCAATGGCGCTGCCAGTGTCGGACGGACCTGGTGAGGTTAGCACCATGTAAATTCAAAAGTGAGGCAGATAAATACCACCATTTGGTTGGTTCTCATGCTCTGGAGACTTAGAACCCATTTCGACATCAAGAGATAGCTGGCTCAAGAATCCGTGGTGGATGGGAAGAATTTGCGACCTGGCCTCGTATTCTCTTAAGAAGAGGCGGAGGTGGGGTGAAACCTTTCCTTTTCGGGCGATCCCTGAAGCATACTTCGTATTTACTGTTTTCACTTTACTTCTCCTCGATTGCAACCAACAAACTCACCATATTAAATGCCTAGACACCAGCATTAAGGCAGCTGGCACCCTACTAACCAGCTGGTGTGGCTTAAGTTTGGTCAATACTTGGGTGACTGCTTCCCCTGTAGCCAAACTGTTATGTATTATGCCTCTGGTGTGCACGCAACTATCCTCACAACAGTGCCAAGCCAGATAAAAAAAGGAGCCATGAGGCCAGTGCAATAGGTATGAAACACTTTTGGAATTACAGCTGTACCTATGCTTTCCCCTTTGAACACGGTGCATATAGAAGACACTCAACTGGTTGTTTGCAGGATTAAAGACTGTCATGGTAGCCACTTGATCCCAACTCTGACCCAGACCAGGCATCAAATACCGCAAGTTAATTCTCGAAAATTCAACCGGTCCCAACAATCCAGTGCCACCCCCCTTGAAGCGACAAAGAGTGGATCTGTAGGCCTCTTATGTTTATCGATAGCAGTAGTGACCAGATGGGCCGCTTGCTGCTCACCTAGCACCTTCTTCGGGGCGTGGTGAAGTATCTGGTCCCCTGCTGAATCACCAAGTAGAACCAAGTCACTGATGTGGTCAATGCTGGCTCCATTCCCGCCATCTTTGAGAGGCAGTGTAACCATGTCACAGAGGACACGCGTAAACTCAGCGTGGTCACTTTCAGATCCTCCCCAAAGGGGATCGGCCCCAAGGTGAGTATCGTGAAATATGTGCCGGGTTTCAGCGAGGCCACACAGTTCAAATACCAAGATGGCAGTCAGAGATGCCCGGGTATACTCAACTGTGAGGATGAGCTGCTCTGGATCAAAGTCAGCATCACAGTATCTGATGAGGCCGTGGGATTTTGTTGCAAGAATGCCTGCTGATGGCAGAGCGGACAAAGGCATGTATAAAGAAAGTGTTGGTCTGGTGGAACGGAGGAAGTCCCGGTAAGCATCAGGAACGGGAAACGGGAAGGCAACTTCTGCGGCAGAGACCGGCGCTCCTAGGTAAAAATCGGTCGCTGACTTCAAAAGCTCTAGCATCTGGGATAGAGGTTGATAACGGGGGTCAACGCCACCAAGCCAATGTGGAAGATAGTCGCGCAAGCCCAAGGGTTTCTGCTCTACGGTAATGGCGTCAACCGCATTGCGATATAACTTTGCCTTATTACCCATGACATCCGTTGCACGCATCAGGTGTCTCTATGCCCCCACTCTCCTTCGATTTTAGCAGTGTCGACTGTGGTCCCATTTGAGAAGTAAATACTAGCAACCCTTTCATTCTGTTAGTAACTTAGAGTAAGATTTAGTCTGATTTGCATACCCGTAGTCAAGTGACAGGTCAAAGCCCGACCCCATATTCCACAGTATGACCAAAGGTAGACATGAGGCACGGCCAAAAGAACACTTGATAAAAGTTGGACCATGAGCGAAGTTTCTTGTTCTCTGCTTGTTATAGCGGGAAATGAAGTATGTAGCGAAAAAGAAACGTAACCTATATGGACGGACAACGAAAATCGAGCAATGACGGCGGGTGTCGACAACTGAGTCATCTCATAACCCATATGCCTGGTTTGTGAACAGAACAATCCATATAGTATGCATTATCATTTATTGTGTAGAGATTTCACAACATGCTGCCGTCATGAAGCCGTCTACTTCCAAGTCAAATGAGAGGCCTGCATACTCGCCGTTATGTATTAATATCATTAGGAGAGGAGAGAAGAAATAATACTATACAGAACTATCTTTCAATATATATAGAGCAAACCCATGACCCTCCCCGAGAGATGGCACAAATACGCGCTGGACTACTACGCCATATCCCCAGGCCAAGATACTGTCCGTTGACGACCCCAACCAGTTGCATCTTCTTGCTCTCATCACCATCCCTCGAGCAAACATCATATACCGCCTGAGGAATCTTTCGCTAAATGATATAGCTCGTCTGGCCTGAGGAAATAGTTGCGTGTTTACAACCTTCTAACCGGGTCTGCCAATCTTCCGACGACAGCTCATCACCAAAGGGAATACCTATGCCTTTTCCACTTCGAATCAGTTTTAGGATAAAGCTATCTTTGAGATTCGGGTTGGAATGGCAGTCTTGCATGAGCCGGGAGGTTTTAGGGAACGCAGGGAGTAAGGTCGTTGAGATACCCTCTCGAAGAATCTCAGCTTGAGTTGGGGTCAGAACTTTGTGACAATGGACGAGAGCATCGAGTTCTTGAAGGATAATGCTTAGCATGCGCTTATCATGCACGAGGAAGATGACACGCATGTCATTGAAGCAAAGCTGGGACAAGCGTCGGAGGATATCAGTGGGCATCGCTCGCAATTCTCGTTGATGAAGCTCGAGGTTGACTTGCTGAATTTTCTCGAGTCGTTCGCCCTCGAATTCGAAGACGGCCCATGTGTCTGCATCTGAAGGGGTGATACAGCGCAACTTCTGACCCAAAGGTGTCCCGTCACATGGGACTAATCATAAATCCTTGGGGGTAATGAAACGAGGACAGATCCCAGTCCGCTTTTCAACCGGATGTCGATCCCTTTCTCTTCCCCCTTGAGGAGATGTATGGGCTTGGATGTGTCGAAAAGACTCAATAGTTCATTGATAGTCTAAGCATCGTCAGTCTCTTTTCTGATTACTGCAATCTATTTGCATCCATAACTCACCTCCTCACAATCTGCCGCGCCCCGGAAACCTTTCTCCCGTGTGCCCATGTGATCCAAGGTACGCTGGCCATACGCTACATGAAAGAGCCCATTCCAACAGAATCAGACATTGATCTCACAAATGCAGAACTGTTCGCGAGTCCCACCAGGCTTGGACAGATCTACAACATCTTCAATCAAGAAGTCCAGTCACCAGGATCCCAAGCATCCATCAAATGGACAGATTGTCCCAGCAGGCAAGTCTTCCATCCACTGCAAGCTTCAGTCAAATTTATCAGGATATTTCTATTCAGAAGAGAGTCTCTTACCCGCTCCGTGACTTGATACAATCGGATGAATTCTCCGTTTTGAAGTGGCAGATTATTCGCAGTGAAACGTCGACCCATATGCATCATTTACAAGTCCGACTTCTCCGGGGACAGCATGGTGATCGGAGACTGTCTGATGATGATCTGGTTCGAAAACTGAAGAATTTCCTCAATGTCGACCCAGATACAGAAGGGTATTTTCAAATTACTTTCGTTGCGGGTTTACAGGAGTTTGAACGCAGTAAGACTGGCAATAAAGTGATGCATTACTTAGAACTCCCCAAGGACTAAGGGGAATGTATACTATGTGTCGCATCTGCTATTGAGATAGTCATTCACTCAACTACGGCTAAGCAGTAGAATATATATATTTATATATATATACCCGAATGCCAATCAATTCCTTAGCATAAAAAGGAGCTCGTTTCTATTCTCCAAACAAAGATTTGACTGACTCAACCCACACGGCAAGAGAAAAATAGTGACATGGTTCCCGACAATCTAAATCTAGACCCCAGTTTCCCGAAATAGGAAATTTAGCCGCAGCCCTATATATCGTGAAAAATACCTTCCACGGTCTAGAAGCACCTTTCATTCAGTTAAGCTCGGATAACATGTGAGCATAATCCGCAGGAACAATTCGGAAAGATTCGATATATAGAGCACATCATCGGAACGCGGCAACCCCAATCACCTTATACTGGGAACAATTCTCCACAGGACATATAGCCGCGGTCCGCCACAGCGAAAATAATAGGCCATGGACTGACATCAAATCCTTACAAAAAACAAACGAATTTAAGCTCCGAGAAGAACCGCGGGCAATTCCGGGGTAGCTGTCCCGGGATCTACCGCTAGATGACTCAGCGGTCGAGGCCTTGACTAGTTATCTGATGGGCGTAGTGTAAACAGAAGAGTAGAAGTAGTAGACAATAGTAAAGGTAAGCATGTGGTGTAGATCAACTCATATAAATGGAGCATTGGAATAAGTAGGACCGTATCGCTGTTTTCTCGGAATTCAGCATATAGTCAGGGCTATACTTCTCCTCATGAAATTTCTCCTCACGACTTCTCCAAATGTGTGTCATATAAGGCTGATACAGACCATTAGCAACACAACTTCTACGTTTAAACGAATCAATTGCCAGACAATAATTGAAGTGGAGGATCTTATCAATTGAGCATTTGTCACAAGGCCCAAAAAAATTTACAGAGCGGGCGGGCACACCGATTCGCCCAAAACAGCTAACAAGACCACTGTCAATTTTCTTTTTTTTTTTCTTTCTTTTCTTCTTTTGTGCTTCTTTTTTTTTTTTTTTTTTTTTTTTTTCCAGAGATTTTTTCGAGGATATCATAACTCATAGACTTTGCTCACTTGGCTGAGCCATTGCGAATTTTTTGCTTCTTTTTTGACTCTCCGCTCCTCATCTCTCCTCTCCCCTCTTTTTAATTTTTTTCCTCCCGCATCCCTTCCATTTCTCTCGCGTCCGCGCGCGCAAACGCACAACCTCCGATCATGGTTGGCAGTACCCTCGCTATGCGCTCTTCCAGAATGGTCTCTCCATCTGCCATGCGCCTCTCCTCGTTCTCGCGTGTCGCCCGGCCCTTGCGCTCCAATGGCTTCCTCCAGCAGCAATCCTTCCAGCGCGCCGCTGCCCGTCGCACCTACGCTGATGCTGCCCCCGCTCCCACCCCGGCTCCCAAGCCCAAGAAGAAGTTCCGGTTCTTGCGATGGACCTGGCGTCTGACCTTGTTGACTGGTGCTGGTCTCACCGGTATGCTGGCGTACAGTATCTATGAGCTGCGCCATCCGATTGAGCAGATTGAGCCTGATCCGTCCAAGAAGACTCTTGTCGTTCTGGGTGCGTTACTCATGAGAGAAAGGAAATACGATAAAAGAGAAGTTGCGACTAACGCAATCGCATAGGTTCCGGTTGGGGTTCCGTTTCCCTGCTGAAGAAGCTCGACACCGAAAACTACAATGTCATCGTCATCTCTCCCCGCAACTACTTCCTGTTCACTCCTCTGCTCCCCTCGTGTACCACCGGCTTGGTTGAGCACCGCTCCATCATGGAACCCATCCGCAACATTCTCCGCCAGAAGAAAGGTGGTGTCCGCTTCTACGAAGCTGAGGCTACCAAGATTGACTACGAGAAGCGCGTTGTCTACATTAGCGATGACTCAGAGATCAAGGGTGAAATCTCGCACACTGAGGTGCCGTTCGACATGCTGGTCGTTGGTGTTGGTGCTGAGAACGCTACTTTCGGTATGTTAACAGTCAGATTTTTGGGGGACCGGGGACAGGAGCTAATGGCCGTGCAGGTATCAAGGGTGTCAAGGAGAACTCTTGCTTCTTGAAGGAAGTTGGTGATGCCCAGAAGATCCGCAAGCGCATCATGGACTGTGTCGAAACCGCCATGTTCAAGGACCAGACCGAGGACGAGGTCAAGCGACTCCTGCACATGGTTGTCGTTGGTGGTGGTCCCACTGGTGTCGAGTTCGCTGGTGAGATCCAAGACTTCTTCAACGAGGACCTTAAGAAGTGGATCCCCGAGATCAAGGACAACTTCCACGTCACTCTCGTCGAGGCTCTCCCCAACGTGCTTCCCATGTTCTCCAAACAGCTGATCGACTACACCGAATCGACTTTCAAGGAGGAGGCCATCTCCATCCGTGCCAAGACTATGGTTAAGAACGTCACCGACAAGTACATCCAGGCCGAGGTTACCAAGCCCGACGGCTCCAAGGAGCTGGAGACCATCCCCTACGGTCTGCTCGTCTGGGCCACCGGTAACGCCGTCCGCAACGTCGTCCGCGACCTCATGAACCAGATCCCCGCTCAAAAGAACTCGCGCCGCGGTCTCGCCGTGAACGAGTATCTGGTCGTCAACGGCGCAGAGAACATCTGGGCCGTCGGTGACTGCGCCATCACCAACTATGCCCCTACCGCCCAGGTTGCCAGCCAAGAGGGTGCCTTCCTGGCTCGTATGTTCAACACCATGGCCAAGACGGAGACCATTGAGAAGGAATTGCAGCACTTGTCCGACATCCAGTCTCAGGCCAAGAACAACGACGACCGTAACGGCGTCTTCGACGAAATCCGTGAGCGCCAGAAGCAGCTCCGCCGTGTCAAGCAGATCGGTCCCTTCCAGTACTCGCACCAGGGTAGCTTGGCCTACATTGGAAAAGAGCGTGCCGTTGCGGACATCAGCTGGTTGAGTGGTAACATTGCCAGTGGTGGTACCATGACCTATCTCTTCTGGCGTAGTGCCTACCTGAGCATGTGCTTCAGCAGTAAGTACTTGTCCCTCTATTTTTCTGATATGCATTACTGACCACTATATAGCCCGTAACCGTGTCCTTGTCACTAATGACTGGATCAAGGCCAAGCTGTTCGGTCGTGATGTCTCTCGGGAGTAAATGCATAACTCCTCTTCACCACACAACAGCAACATACATACCCTTACGACTCTTCAGCCACTATCCACAATCTCTCCCTTAACGCCACTTTGTATGACCGCCTAACCTAACCTTCCTTACTGTGTTTCCTTTCCTTCTTTCTCTTCTCTTCTATTCTCTCATGTCTTTCCGCATTTAGCAGTTTTGTTTTGTTTATTCCTGTTTTGAGCAAGCGTGATTTGGTTTCTTTTCTTGGGAGGCCCACGGGGGGAGGGGGGGGGGAAAGGGAAAGGGCAAGGATAAAATGAGAAAAAGGAGCGACAGTCCTTTTCCTCCCGTATGTACTTTTTAACTTGTTATTTCCTTTGTTTGTATTGTACGAATTAAATAGATAATAGACTTGGGCCTGGGATTTAAATGGGTGCTTAATTCATTATGTTGAATGTTGAGAACCTGGAATCTATTAGAAATGGAAGCCATATACATGTCTTAATGTTTATTCGTGAGTTATTCCGAGCCCGACAAAAAAGAGAGCAGGTATAGTATAAACGTAAGTCGTATAAAGTTATAAAAAAGAGCAGAGACTCGATCTAAAACAGATTCCACCCACCCCGACCTCTCTTCTCATGCTGCGGCGCAACCAACGGCCTCTCCTGTCCTCGATGCATCCCCCGTCCATCTAACTTCCGGATGCTCTCAATCTTCTGCAACGCCAATTCCAACAACTCCTTCTTCCGAATAATGTCTAGATGTCTCCGGATGCGCGGGTCCTCTCGTGCAAACCGCTCGACTTCGTCGTCGGACAGGTGGCGGCCGAGGCGCGTGTCGAGTTCGCGGGGGAAGTTGTAGTAGAATTCGGAGAGGAGTTCGACATTCAGGAAGAGGACGGCGGTGGAGGTGAGTTTGTCGGAGACGACGTCAAGGAAGATCTCGGGGCAAAAGTATTTGTTCTTCTTGGTGGCGCACTGCTTTGAGCGGACGGCGAGGAGGCGCATTTTGAGGAGGTCGGCGCGGTCACGGAGGAAGACGCTATCGCGGCCTGCAGGGGTTAGTTTACGCCTTTTAAGAGGAAGGGATTTCTGGGGACTTACCTGTCTCAAGCAAAGCAGAGCTGAATCCACCAGCTCCGCCAGTGCCGTCACCCTCTAGAACAATATCACCTTTCCTGACCTTGTCGACAAAAGTCATGACGTCTCTGATCTTTCTCTTTCCGATAATCTCTTCAACACGCTTCATGGCTCCCTCGCATGCCTTAAGTTCCTCCTTCAGCACTTTGCTCACATTTTCCCTCCCCTTGGTCCATTCGGGCTCTTCGACCTCAATTTCGAACTTGTAGGGCTTGATGCAGTTTTCGACCTGGTCGCTGGTGCTGAAGAATCGGTCGTTCAGGATGCTTTCGCAGGCATCCGTGATTTGTTTCTGAGCATAAGGATGCGAAGCAAAAGTGGATTGCGATAAAAGGTGATCAACGTGTGTCTGAAGGGCGTTCGCAACAACGGTAGTTGCGAGTCGACCAATTCCAAGCTTCGTCAAGGACGAAGTCGAGGCGTCGAGTTTCCGCCTCCAATACAGCGACTCTGGGTCCGCTTTGGGGAGGTCGCTCAGAGGATCCGGCTCGAACAGCATGGGGCTCAAGTCCTCGATGGGCTTGTTCCAATACCTCTGGGCCAGAATGTCCATGATTCGTTGGTCCAGCTCGTTCTTGAGCATCTCACGAACCTGAGGACGGCCGAACCCTTCAGCAAACGCTTTGAACGAGTGCTTGAAACTATCAAGGGTTTCAGCCAGATACGACTCTGCGCTGAGAGGACGGTCGTTGTACTGGACCTTGAACTCGTAGGTCGCTTCTTCGAGTTCTTGACTGATGGCATCTCTAGTTCCTGCCAGGTTGTATGCCATGGTTTGCTCAAGAACGTGCATAAGCTTGGTCCGTAGAGTCGAAACTCCAATCGTAACGCCGGACTCAGGACCGAACTCCGGGTGGGCAGAGAAGTAGGCATTCTCATTCTTCAAGATGGCACTGGTGATGTTGCCGGTGCCTCTGGAGAACAAGGTAGTTGTCTGAGGAATCCGGCTGACAACACCCACATACCCGAGCCGCAGAGGATACTTCTTATCCGTAAGCATGCTCAGACCACGTTCAGGGTCAACGAGATCCATCTTCGTGATCACACCAATTGTCCTTTCACCCCTCGGGTCGACACGGCGACTTGCTCTCAAAGCAGTCGAGTTAGCCAGATCGACATCTGCCGCAGAGATAGCCAGGACGATGTTGGGTGCCTGGATGTACTTGTCACAGAGGTCAGAGATCTTCTGTTTGAGCTCCGGTGGTTGATCATGGCCGGCAACTTGGATGTATCCCGGGAGGTCGATGAGGGAAAGATCGGGGACATTGGGGGAATGGATGGTCAATTGGATAGGGTCGTCTGTAACGCAGTCACTTTCAGGGACAGCCAGGTTCAGATCCGTCAAAGTCCGTTGAATCTGGGTGAAATCGGTAACCTTCCCCAGCCCAAGAGCCGGAAACTCTCCGTACTCGGAATGACCATTTGGCGTGTTGACTAGTGTAAGCTCGATCGGACGTCGGGTAACCATGTTCGAGCCCTTTGGTAGGAATTCGTGCCCAACAATAGCTTCAAGAACCGAACTTTTGCCGGAAGATTGCGACCCGATAACAACGATAGACGGAAGCGTGAGCGTATTAGACTGCCCAACGGTTGACAGGATATTCCTAATCTCGATCATTTTCCGTGTAAGAAGCATCATCTGATCGTCCTCCGCAATGTCTCGACCGGACCGCACATCGTCCTCGTCCGACTGGTCGTAGCCAAACGCCGCAGTGGTGGCTGCCGCAGCAGCACCAGCCCGGCCCTCCTTAGGAGACTTTCCTCCACCAGGCGAGCCACCAGAGTCACTACCCTTCGTGTCTTCCTCGTCGAAACGGAGTATCTTCTGCAGCCATTCGGGTAATCCAGCGTCTTCTGTCGTTCTCTGCCAACCGCGTTGTGTTTGTTCAGCCATATGCTGAATCTCCGAGAAAATTCCCGAAGCGGTGCCACTTGCTGTCTCTCCAGCTCGTCTGAAAACATCTATAGCGTAGTTTCCGGCCTCTGTCAACCAAAGCGGGGCAGGTATCAGTAACATGCAATCTCCAAGATTTCGAGAACTCAGCATCAGAAGAAAAAAACATACGAGTAGCCTGATACTGAAAATAAGCAAAGCTCGCAATCATAGCCCCTCCAAACATAGCCGGTAACCTGACTAGCTTCACCGCCAGCTTGGGGAGCATTCTGGAAAACGAAATCGCCCGCACGGCGGGGACATTGTTGTGGATAGAGTTAGTCCCAACAGTCCATGCTCGGCCTCGCAGAGCGGCACTGCCATCTGCTCGTAGGAGACCCCCCGTCCTTGCACCGGCGTTGTGGGCATGGCGAGCCAGGGAACCTGCCCGCAAGAGCGGAGCAAGACGGTGGGAGAGGATCCTCCCGCTCATGATTGATGAAAGCTCATACAGATCCGGGAGATGTCGGTGGGAAAGTGGTCATCTCCGGGCCGATGAGCCTCGAAGAATGAACCAGTGAGGGTATATAGGGTTTGATAAGATGGAATAGGGTATATCAAGTCGTGGAGTTGACAACGAAGATACAATGACGGAGGATTTGGCGAATCTCCGCGCGGGAGACCCCGTGACCTGCGCAGATGGCCGCGTCGCATGCCGGAAAATGTCGGTGAGTCACGTGGCGTCATAGAACCATATTGACAATCACTGACGACTGATTGGGGATATTTATTGGCGATTGATTGGGCTCTGATTGAATTACTTATTGGCTTGTGTTCCCAGTGATATTGTCTGTCTAACGTGGAGCGAGTGTGCGCTTGGGACTCTTTTATCGGCGTTGGGCTGGATCTGATCTCATCGGAACAAGATCAGAACCATACTTTATCTTTTGAAGCTTGCAAGCAAAAAACCGATACGGCCAGGAAATTATGTGCAGATTCCTAGTAAGTGGTTTTATTATACCTATTAGTCCATGACACAAATCGCATTAACCCCATCTTAGATATACAAAGGCCGAAATGACATCCGTCTCAGCAAGCTGATCACAGAACCGAGTCATTCAATCCTCACACAGTCCTACGACTCGCGACTGAGATTGGTAAGACCAAACGCAAATTATACAGCAAGAGAAAACGGTCAAAAACTTATACTATTCTGCTTAGGACAACCGCCGTCCGGTAAACGGCGATGGCTTCGGGGTCGGCTTCTACACGGACCCCGAATTAGGCCGCGACCCCTGCATCTTCACCTCAACCCTCCCGGCATGGAATTGCGAGAACCTCGAACGACTCGCCTCGAAGACCTGCTCGAGCCTGATATTCGCGCACGTCCGCGCAACCACCGAAGGCACGCTCTCCGATAACAACTGCCACCCGTTCCAGCACCAGACCTTGATGTGGATGCACAACGGCAGCATTGGCGGATGGAAGTACGTTAAACGGACACTGGCCGACTCGCTAGCGGATAAGTGGTATTTGGGTGTCAATGGTGGGACGGATAGTGAATGGGCCTTTGCGCTGTTCCTTGATCTATTGGAGAAGGAGGGCGTGGATCCTAGTTCGGATCCGGGGCCGGAGGGTTTTGGCCAGGCGCTTTTGCGGAAAGTGATGATGAAGACGATTGCGAAGATTAATGAGTTTATTGCGGAGATTCCTAAGAAGCATAATGTTTCTGGGGTCGAGACGCGGAGTTTGCTCAACTTCGCGGTGACGGATGGTCATACCGTTGTTTGCACACGGTATATCAGCAGCAAGACGGATGAGCCTGCGAGCTTGTACTTCTCCTCCGGTACTAAGTGGAAGGAGGGCAAGGATAAGGGACACTTCAAGATGGAGCGTCATGATAAAGGCGCGGATATCGTCCTTGTGGCCAGTGAGCCCATTACATTCGAGAGACGTGAGTTCCCTCCCTCCAGAATTCTCAACCTTCTATAACCGCTAGAGTACTGACATTCTCATGATAGACAACTGGGTCTCCGTCCCCACAAACTCCGTCATCACAATCCACAAACAAACCGTCCTCCTCCACCCCATCCTGGACGAATACTACGGCGAAGACATAACCCAAGACCGCTCATCCTGCTACGCCGTATCCAAGGGCCTGGTCAGCACCGCACCAGGAACAACCGTACAACCAGGCGCAGATGAACCTCGCAGCGTGGAGCCTACGAGTGACGGGCCGAGACTCGATGATGTTAACCGGGGGTTGTCGCATTTGCAGCTTGCGGGTCAGACTGGGGTTGCGACACAGTGTGCGGTGTCGCATTGATGGCGTATGGTGGTTTTGTGTTGTTTCTGCTTGGTTTGGTTTGGGAGATTGTGTGGGTCTATATAGGAGTTTGGTATATTTCGGGGTTTTACCATTGGGGATATGATTTAATGCTTGATGTCCTGTTTCTTACTATGCAAGATAAACATACCCTTTATGTATATGTCTTGTCTAATATGATTCGATAACGCCTCAAACACCTTTCAAAAGAGAAGCAGAATTAAATATCTTCTCCCGATATATTCGCATGCTTGAAATACTTCATCCCCACCCAAGCAACAACAACCCACACCCACGACATAACAGCCGTTAATATAATCAACGCTGGGTAATACCCAACAATCGGCAGTGTCGGATCATCCTCGAGCTCAGGCGGCGCATATGGTGTCTCTCCAACATCCCAGGCCCAACTCCAAACCCCGAAACAGCTTCCCATTCCCACGACGAAGACGAGCCATGTTACAATCAGTATAATCCAACCCCACCATTCAGTTTCGGAATAGTCCCATATGATCTCTTGATGGTCGGCGGGGTGGTGATGCGTTGCGAGGGGGGATTTGGTGTGGTGGACGGCTCCGTAGGTCGAGTCTGGTTGGAGGGCGTAGTATGAGTCTGAGCTTGACGAGGGCGATGTGAGGGGGTTGTGTTGTAATCCTGCGGCGATGGTCTTCGGGTTTTCATTTTCCTTGTTTTCAACGTTATCGCGGCGTGTGAAGGAGACCACGTCCTCGTCGTCAGTAACCGTCTCGTCACCAAGCACCTTGTTCCGGACGAGATTCGGCTCATGGCGTGAAAACGAGCCTCGAGAAACTCTCCTCTGCTGCGCACTAACATATCCCCATCGCGGGTTGTTCTCACGACCTCCCCGATCAAACGACCCCTGCGACTGCGACATGGGCTCCGTTCCACCTGTAGCAGGGACAGAATTGGTAAACGGTCGCGCCGACATACCCTTCGCAGCATCCTCACTTCGCCAGATGTCCATCATGTTATTACTACCGTTGGCACCCTTGTTCGTCTTCTTCGACTCAAAGCGCGTACCTAACAGCGCCGTCTTGCGCAACGATCCTCTCCTCCTCCGCGTCCTCCGCTGTTGTTGCAACGCACTCGCCATCGCTTTTCCGCCGCGCAAGTTACTCGTTCCACCGGGAGAGACATCATTACTGCCGTCGCCATCATCGTATCCCCGTTCATTCATAGCTGCAGACTGATTATCGGTATATTCTGGCGATTTCGTGGTTGCTTGGTTCGTGGTCCGTAAGAACGACAGCTTCGATAAGAGCGAGCCGGACATGCTGCGTCGGTGGTTGCTGTTGCTCGTGCTAGTGCTCATAGATCGCGTGCGTCCCGTACGTTCTCCGTCGTTGGTGTTGGCACCATCATTGTCGTTGTTGCTGTTCATCGACAATGCTGCCGTGTGGGTGTCGTAGTCTCCATCTTCCATTGGCGTAAGCTCGCGCAGATTGAGATTCGGGGGTTGTATCACGGGTGCATTCAATCGTTCGGTATGAAGGGAAATTGCTGAGTGAGTGAGGTAGTGTATTTCACCCATTCGGGGGTTGTTCTTCGGCGGTTGGTTCCATGAAGCGGCGTGGTTGAGGTAAGGAGAGAGATGCGGATGAGGATAGCTAGACGGGCCATGACGCATTAACTAAATTCCGGTTCCGGAGTATATCAGAATAACATCTGGCTTCGCGCGAAGAACTACAATGTGTATTCTATAGATTAAAGCATAGGAGTCCTTCGGGCTCACATAAATGTGGCTGCATATGCTATGCTACCTAAACGACACCAAACGTTGATCTCTCAGCTAAAAGAGACACAAAATCAAGTAACATAATCATAGGCATCGAAAACAATACTTTCCCAAGGAAGAAGACAGGAGCAAGTAAATGGACCAGAGGGTATCGTTGCATCAGCTTGTAAAGACATGGGCCGCCGGCGTCATGCGGCCTAAACCAATGAAAATAATGAAGAAAGTACGATATCAACAGAACAGATGACTTCGTATGTAGCATAAAAAGAGACCAAATCTGCTCAGAAAGCCGCACGCATACTGATGAGATACGATCAAATCCGGGTCAGATAATTTATCAAATATTAGCTCACACCAGTAGAGCCGAGAGTAGAAAGAAAAGAAGAGAAAATATAAGAAAATACAAAGAAAGTAGAATAGATAAGAAACAAAAAAGGCACTTTTAATTCATTCAGTTGACAGCATACTTGAATCATGCACCCAAAGAAGCTGTTGATCAAGGATGTGGACAACTGATCGAAGGAAAGAACAGGAAAGATAACATAAGAATCAAGTCAAATCAACAGAGTGGACTTGGGGTATTTCAGTGCATGATAACACACAAATTTCATTTCAAAAGGAAGCACGTGAGAATTGAAAGGAAAACATGCGCTTGAACATCCACATAGTATGACAATTTAGAAACCAATCATGATAAAGCAGCTGGGAAGGTTTAAAAGCGAATAAGAGAGATGTAAAAAGCAATCGATGTAAAACATATAAGACGGGGGAAGACAAGGGCGGATAGTTTGCGAAACCGCCTTTCTTTTCGTCGCATTTGTTGCCGGTGCGAGGACTCAAGATCAAGAATGACGGACGTTCAGCAGCGACTCATCCGGAGATGGGTTACGCTTGGTAGCCCCCGAAGCCGTTTCCATAGTTGCCGTTGTTGGCCTGTCCACGGCCAAAGCCAGCACCGTTTCCTGGACCGTAGTTTTGCGCGGGCACGGCAGATGGATCCCAGCCTCGACCAGCAGGAGCAGGACCTATAAAAAACAATTAGCAAGAAGACAGGATAACAGTTGGTCGGAACAAGGGAGGCGTACCCTGAGCGGCCATAGGCCCGCCGGGACCATTGTACTGGGGGAAGTAGGTTGTACCGGAGGCAAAAGCCGCATTGTCGAATTGACCAGTGGGTGGGCGATCCTTACCCCACTGCGACAGTTAGCAACTCGCAATAGACGAGCGAACACCAGAGCGGGGGAATTGAACATACGCTGCACTTCAGAGGACGACCGTTGACGTTGTAGCCGCTGAGCTGGCAAATTGCCATGGCAGCATTCTCGTGGGTGTCCATTTTGATGAAAGCAAATCCACGGTCGGCCTGCAAGCGGGTTTCCAAGACGTAACCGAAGTTCTGGAACAGGGGAACCAGGTCATTCTGCGAGGTGTACGGCGTAAGGTTGCCCACATAGCATGTGGTCTGCCACTGAGGGGTCTGCTGGGCAACCATGTCGTAGCTCTGGATACCATGGGTGGGGAAATGATGGTGACCGAAAGGCGCGGTCGGGGCCATGCCCATGGCTGCCATCGCCTGCTGCTGGGAGATAGAAGGCTGGCCCTTCTGGTTGGCCCAGTTGCAGCGAATAGCACGGGAACCTAGCCATTCTCCATCCATGGCGGTCAAAGCCTTGTCCGCATCTGAGCGCTCACGGAAAGCGACAAAACCATAGCCACGCGAGCGTCCCGTTTTCATATCCCACATCACACGGGCTTCAGAAACCGAACCGAAAGCCGAGAACGCCTGGAGCAAGATCTCATCGTTGACTTCATTGCTCAGATCACCGACAAAGATGTGGAAGTGGGACGAGGTGTCTTCCTTGTTTGAGCTGTTGGATTGATACGCCCAGTTGACACGGATCTCCTGCAAGCATGGTCAGAAAAGACGAATGGTACAATTATAGAACTTGTATTAGCATACCGACTGATGAATACGGCGTCCGTTGAGGGTCTGCATGGCCCTCTCAGCAGCACCGGGGTCATCGAACTCGACGAAACCGTAGTTGTATCCTTTGCTGTTGAATTTCTGTGGGGACGGGGCACGTTCAGTAACCAGCTACTCCATGGGAGATTGGTATAGATGAGAAAAGAATACTAAAAATAAAAATTAAAAAAGGGGATCGGAGAACTCACGTTCTTGTCGGGAATGATCTTGACATTGATAACATGGCCGGTAGTCTCGAATATTTGCTTCAAGATGTCCTCTGTGACCCTGTGGTCGAGACCTCCGACATAAAGTGCTCTTTTGTTTGGCTCAGGAGCGGCCCGACGCACAAATCCACCAGCACTGGTGGGGGACATCATGTCCCCAGACATCGGAGAAGTAATCGCCGTCGGGATCGGGTTGGTGTTCTGGGGGATCATGACTGGCGGACGAGGAGGAGGGGGCATGTGCGTACCCTGGCCATTGTCCTGGGACGCATCATACTGCTGCTGGCCAGAAGCTCCGGTTGAGGCTTGCGGAGGTTGTGGCAGAGTGGAGGTGGAAGCGGGCACGTTCTCGGCCATTGTGACACGATGTCAAGAAAACAATATACAACGCAAGACAATTTGGTCGACAAAGCAAGACAAAGAGTCGAAAGACGTTGAAACGGCGCTTGACCAAGGAGGAACAAGCGTCGAGCGAGAGACAAGAAGGAGAAGGAGAGAGGTTGGCGATTTCGAACGAGCCAATGCAGAGCGTTAAGGAGCAGTCACAAAAAAAAAATAGTGAACTCGAAGGCGGAGAGCGGCGCGGGGATCAGTATCAAGGCACCAAAAGGAGGTTTCTTAAGAGAGAAAAAATAAAGGTAAAAATCACAGATGGAGTGGGAAAAAGAAAAAAAATAAATAAATAAAAAGAGAAAAGAAAAACAGAAGAAGAAATGGAAGAAACTAAAGTGATCACTAGATCAGAGAATGGAACCCCAATAGTTGTACTAAGAGTCGTGACGGATCAGAAACCCTTAGTTAGCCCAAGGCGACTCTCAAACACGCGGATTTTCAGAACCCTCTGCCCCAACAGGAGACTTGCGATTAGAATACTGATAGGGGAGGGACCAAGTAAGAAAAAGAAACGTACGGAGTAGCGCAACAGAGACAAAGGAAGTGCTAAAAGAAGCAAATATGGGAAGAAAAAGAACTGAGTCACAAAACCCGACGCCAGAGCTGACTGGACGAGGAGAGAAAAAGGAAAAGAGAAAAAAACGACAAACAGAAGACGAAGAAACAAGAAGAAGAAGAAGAAGAAGAAGAAAAAGAAGAAGCACAGCAACGATCAAGAACAAAAGAGAAAAGAACCAAGTGATGAATCGATCTATCCAACTGGACAGAACAAGAGGAGCTGGGAACCTGACAGGAGAGCTGCTTTGTTTGCTTTGTTTGCTTGCGCTCTTGAGCCGCCGAGTGGAGAGGACACTAAACTACAAATGGTTTAGTATCCAGGACAAGCTGCACGGGACCTGGACTCAGATCGAAGTCGACGGGAACATGCTTCTCCATTCACTCTTGAATTCAACATAACAGAACTGTTTGTCTGGACTGAGAGTATTTGTCTATCTCATCATTCATTATTAAAGTCTGTACAATTGTGCCTCATATAGCGTTTAATCATTCCATTCGATTGACGGCCACTTGGACCTGGGCGTGCATTTGTCTTACCATTTGCCCCGGCTTGCAACATCAACGGATCGATAAAACACCCGGGCTATTTGAAAACGGTGGCCAGGGTCTGCAGCTTATTGATCCTGTGATCGTAATCGCCATGACTACAAATTATTCGGATCCGAAATCCCTGGCTACTCTAACGGCTACAGTCAACCAAGCGGTACGTTCAAAAATTGGCAATTGTAAAGATAGTCATATTCTAACAACTGGTAGCTCATAGAGACTGGACGATTCTTTCGATCATCTGGTTCGATTCAATCCAGAGCTCAGCTAAAACGGTCTATTCCGGCCTCCCATGAACAATTTCAATTTGCATTGGATGATCTCTCGGAACAGATTGTATGTATTTCTGATGTTGATCGACAATACGGGAGGCATCTGTTGACAGTTTACAGTTCCTTGCCAAGGCGTTTCTAGAGCGCGACTATGAGGCAATCCGAGCGACAAAGACAGAAAGCCAGGCAGCTCAAGATGTGGCAATGGGCGAAACAGGGGTGAAGCCGGAACCGGAAACTGGAGAGCAAGTGCCAGAAAAAGCAGAAAAGGAGGTCGATATCAAGACCGAACAAACTACAGAAGACGTGACTACGAACCCACCGGCACCAGCAGCCGCAGAACCGAGTCAACCCGACGAACCCGATCAGCCTGTGAAGGTCGAAAAGCCAGGCGAAACTCCTGCGGTTCCAGACCAATCAACCGCGGAAACCAAGTTTGACACCGGACAGAACGAGACAGCGGGAGGCGAAACGAATGACTTTGATCTTCATTTAGACTTTGGCGATGATGAGATCGAGAACCAGAACTTCCTCAATATGAACACGGGTGGTGGCGCGAACGAAACCGATGAGTTTGGAAATAGTATCACGGCTGGGGGTGACGCATTTGACTTGGAATTTGAGAAAGCCGGTGCGGGTGCTGGAGGAGAGCAGCAGCAGCAGCAGCAGCAGCGACAACAGCAACAACAGCAACAACAGCAACAACAGCAACAACAGCAACAACAGCAACAACAGCAACAACAGCAACAACAGCAACAACAGCAACAACAGCCACAACAGCCACAACAGCCACAACAGCCACAAACAGGGACGGATTCTCAGACCGGGGAACAATCGGAGGATATCATGGCGCCTGGAGAGTCCAGCTTTGATGACCTGTTCATGGGCAGTGGGGAAATGGGCGATCAGGGACTGCTGGAGGGGGATGAACTGATGAACATTGAGGAGTTGGATGACAACTGGTTTACATGATTGGTGTACCTGGCCAACGTTCAATCTGAGACATTTTGATTGTCAATGCTGTCAATGCCACTGTACGAGTACGAGTACATCGGAGTATAGAGCCAAGAAAGGAAGAGAGGGAAAATAAGTAAAATAAAAACAAAACAGGCGCCCTACTAATCCGAGGGGCCCGAGTCATCGCCCCAGGTCCAGAACAACGGCAATGAGGTCATTTGAGCTGTCAGTCTGATAATGCAGGAAAGTCATAATGCGGAGGAATATCCACGCTTGCATATGCTAATACATCATTGGGGTATTAATCTCTTCCTTCCGAGGAGAAGAACCGGTGAGCTCTGCCTAGATAGACTAGTACAGTAGTATAGATTATTCTCTCAAATACGTACCCCTACTATTACCGTGTTGAGAGAATTGGGCCGAGGATCCCCCGCATACTATAAGAGGCAATTGGGAAGAGAGACAAACGCTGCAAACAGTTCCCAATCTGCATTGCCGGGATATCCGCATTGGGGCAACGACGTCATGCGATCTTCTCCAGAATTTCGTACAGACCTCAGAGATTGTATTTGACTGGTGAATATAGACCGGATAGAAGATCAATAAATATGTACAATGATTGTTTATGATTGTATGCGCTGAGCTGTACTGTTGCAGAAAACAAATCATCCGCCGAGCCAGAACCGGAAATGAATCCCAGGAAAAAAGGACCTGAAGGTTTCCTTTCCAGACGCTGGATGGCTCGGATCGCCGGAGATTGAAAGAACCAGAAGGATTATTGTACCGCGTCATCATAAAGTGGTTCTGGATGGCTTACTTTGTATGGTGGGGGATTAGTATTGTATCTCTCATCTCATCATTAAGTGGCCATTCGCCATTTTCCTTCCCCCGGACAAGACAAGAAAAGATGTTCAATCGTCTTCCTCTTCCGCGGCACTGACTATATTCTTCTCTTCTTTTCCTTTACAAGTACTTCTCTGTCACTCTCTGCCTCCTTCAATCTCCCTGTCTCGTGTTTCATCGGCCCAGTCGGTGAACCGCTTTTCACTGGAACACCGGACCTTGCGTGGTTTAAAACCAGTCGATCAGCAGCAAAAAAAGACAACTGAAAAAAAAAAAAAAAGGCTCCTGATGGATGCCGGCGAATAAATCCAAATATTGACTGAACTCGTGCATACATACCGTACATAATCCGGGCACAGACTGAACAGTGTGCTGTTTCCGGCAGGTCGTGATCTGCTTTCTATTCATTACCACTAACTACTGGGACTGCCCATATAAAGACTGTCTGGGGTACGTTGTCTTGTTTTGCCTTTTTTTTTTTTTTTTTTTCTTTTCTTTTCCATCTCCCTTCCCTGGTTTTTTTTCTTTTTTCTTTGCTTTTTCTCTCTCTCGCTTTTATCCTCTCTTTTCTTTCATTCCTTTTCCTTCCTTCTTTTTTTTTTTCCCCTCCCCATCTGTCAACTCCCTCACTCTCTTGCTTGTAGCACCACTGCCCGCGCTTTCTCCACTGTCGCATCAACTCGAGTCAGATCAGTCCTCCGTACCAGAAAAGACAAGGGGAAAAAAAAAAAAAAAAAGCATTGATCTTCTCGCCCAATTTATCTCATCTTTATAAGCCGCAACGAGAGAGAAAATTATGCCCCGTTGCTTGTTCATATCATTATGATGGCCGCTCACATATCCTCTCATCTGCAGCAACAAGAACTGGCCCAGTCTATCTCCGCCAATACTAATCAGCTGGCCGCCTGCGATTCCTCTGAGCCTTTCCCCCCATTATTCTCCGGACTCTTCCGCCCTCGTTCTAATCGTCGTCGTTCGTCTGTCTCGACCTCGACCGGTGAATCCAGCGTCTCCTCTGAATCCGCTTCCAAACAACAAAGAAATCGTCACTCTTCTTTCCTTAGAAAGCTTACGGGTCCGCGAGAAAACGCTAAGCGCTTCCTTCGTCTGGGGACATCGACCAACCCCCCCGCCATCGCATCTTCCACTCCCAATTCTCATCTGGAACCTGAACTTCCTCCTCTTCCTCAACTCGAGATCCCTATGCCCCGAACTTCTCGCCCACGACCCGTGTCTGAAATTGTGATCTCACCCAGAGATGCCCAGATGTTAGCTGCTGCTGCGCCTAACTTCGAGGGGGGCCGGATGCGCTCCGGCTCTTCCTCCACGATCGGCTCTGGGTCTCAACCGCAACCAGTCTTGGAGCAAATCGCGGCGCCACTCGGTCCGGATTCGTCAGAGGCGTTTCCGCCATTGCCGCATGAGAAAACGGTAGCCACGGGCAGTGGTATTTCGGTCGGCATTGCTCTCACTGAGCCTATGCTCTTTCTCGCCGGCTACGACCATAGCGACCCGAGCTCCAAGAAGTCCGCCATTCTCCGTGGTCAATTGCATTTGAAGGTTACCAAGAGCGTTAAGATTAAGAAGATCTCCATTACTTTCCGTGGACATGCCCAGACGGATTGGCCGGATGGTATGTAACCTTGTTCTTCTGGTATGTAAATGGGGCTTGTCCGCTAATTCTTCCATTCTTTAGGAATCCCACCCAAGAAGATCCATTTTCACGACAAGAAAGACTTGGTCACTCATGGAGTCGTCTATTTCAACCATGGCGATACAGCCCTGATGCAAAACGACTATGGAGCACATTATTATCAACACGCGAAACCCTTCACGTCGATAACAGGCAAGGACGGGGTGACTGCGAGCACCAAGGAGCTCTTCTCGAAGAGCGGATCGTCGACGTCGTTAAACAACAACCAAACTGCCAAGGAGCTCAAACGACTCTCGCTGCAGTCTGGCCACGGCCACTCGCGCAGCTTCGGGAGGAACGAGCTTCCCGGCGCCGCCCCAGCTCCCCAACGCAACTATAGATTGTTCCCAGTGGGTGATTATCTGTACAGCTTTGAATTTCCCATCGACGGGTCTTTGCCGGAGACAATCAAGACAGACCTAGGGTCTGTCAAGTATGACCTGGAAGCCATTGTTGAGCGTGCAGGGGCATTCCGGCCGAACCTGCTGGGTAATCTGGAGGTTCCCGTGATTCGGACTCCCGCGGAGGGCTCGTTGGAACAAGTCGAGCCCATCGCCATCTCCCGAAACTGGGAAGACCAGCTTCACTATGATATCGTTATCTCTGGGAAATCCTTCCCGTTGGGTACGCAAGTTCCCATTGCATTCAAACTGACACCATTGGCCAAGGTCGAATGCCATCGCATCAAGGTGTACGTGACGGAAAACATTCAACACTGGACAGCCGACAAGAGCGTACATCGCTTCCAGCCGGCTAAAAAGGTCCTTTTATTTGAGAAACGGGCCGATTCGCCCAGTACGAGCACGTATCCAGGCAGTTCGATGCGTGTCACAGCTGGAGGTGGCATCGACTGGGACCGTCGCGAGGCTGCTGCCAGGGGTGAGGAGATGGTTGACCGAGGCAGATCCAACTTACTGGGTAATCTCTCGAGCGACGCGGCAGTTGGTCCGACTGAAATGGAATTCAACGTACAATTGCCAAGCTGTCACGAGATGAAGAACCGTGATGAGTCGCAACGACTTCATTTCGACACGACCTATGATAACATTCAAATCAACCACTGGATCAAGGTAAGATGAGATTTCCATCAGAAGAAATAACATCAGCTAACAGGTGATTGCAGATCGTGCTGCGTCTCTCCAAGCTCGACGACAAGGAACCCGGAAAACGGAGACACTTTGAGATCTCCATCGACTCCCCGTTCCATCTCCTTTCGTGCAATGCTACCCAGGCCAACATTTACCTCCCCGCCTATACATCGCCGAACGCAGAGCCCGTGACGCCCGCGCAGGAATACGAATGCGGCTGTCCTGGCGCCCCGTTGTCCAACCGCAACAGCGCGCCTAATTATCAGTCCGTTTTGGACCGGGGCGATACTGGCCCCCCTGTAAATCCGGTGACCGGTCGGGCACCGTCTCGAAGTTTCACCAGTGGTTCCGGCGGTCTTGCTCGTCCGCCGCAGGCCCATATCGCAAACGAACCGGAGGGCAACCCTCGTCCAATGCATCTTCTTCGGACGCCTTCGTTCGCGCCACCGGCCTTTGAAGATGTTCCACCGCCGCCGCCCTTGATCACACCACCTCCGGATTACACGTCCATCGTGAGCGAAGGGGACCGGCAAGCGGCCTTTGAAGACTATTTCTCGCGGGCCACCTGCGAGGATAACGACGACGAGGATGACCCCCGAGGTCGAGGCCGAGTGGATGTGCCTCTGACACCGGGAGGCCGCGTGCATCGCAGTATGGATGTCTCCCGTGATTGGGTGCGTCTGGATGACTCGGTGGTTTAAGAGACCGCGCAACATCTGTCAAAACCTGTCAATCAGGGTATTCACGACGTCATGAAGCCAAGGGTCATGTCTTATGTTCTACCATAGACTTTTTTTTCCAGGAGTTATATTCTGACTTAGTTCGGTTGGCGCTGTACCGGATTTTTTGCACTTCATTTTTATCTTCTCTTCTTTTGCCTTTCATCTTCATTTTTTTTTCTTCTTGATTTTCTACTTAATTTTCATTTGCATGCAGGCGCAGCTTGGACAGGGTATATGTGAAGGTAGGGCGCTTTTTGAATGGCATCTGTTATGAGCGGTTTCTATATACATACATCTGAGTGATAGATATATATCCCATGCACAATAAGGCTGGGTATGTACATATTGCAGGTGGACAGTTAATTGACTATCTGTACGGACTAGTGTCACAACTATACTATTATTTTCGCCATATGTTCTTGATCATGTTCTAGGGTAGTTATACCCCTTTCTCAGGGTATGTACTCCGTACACTGTACGGGATACGCATTCCACACAACATAGGAGCAACAAGGATAGACGAGTCACTTGATCTTCCTAGCTACCCACTTGCCAAAGCTAGACCTTACATCTTGTGCTCTCAATACTGTAATACCTCAATTTTGGAGCCGCTACTCAATAGCTACTCTCCACATGTGTATGTACCTGTACGGAATAGGTAATAGGGTCCTAGTCCATAAGCCGCATGCAGTAAGGAGTGCGGAGTACATACATACCCTGTTCTTAGTACATCGTGGGCTTCTTGAAATTAGAGTAGGATCTGCTGTGCAGCAATGATTTGCAATAATGATCCGGTGTAATTTTTGAGGGTTGGCGCTGTTGGTTCTGGATGGGGCTGTTTGATGTGACCTGTCCGATGTTGTTGGGATCGAGGTAGTACACGTTGAGTAGGGGCATGGATACTACGCTGTGCAGAATATGTTACCAGACAATTGAACAGGTAGATATCTATTATGTACTCTGTACGGAGTATTGTTCTCGTCATAGTACTAGACTAAACCCGATCTATACCCAAAAAGGAAAGCAGATGCCCACTGATATCCACATTCTTCATCTTCATCTTTTTTCTTCTTCAGCCATTCGGAAAACCCGATCATCGTGCAGAAAAATCACAGATAATCGGATTAACGGAAGATCCTACAATTACGAATGCGTCAATATGGACTTGCGCTCTAATAGAGTACTCATACAGGTTGTCAGTCAACCTGCAACGCCGGACAAATGACCGGCAGGACATCGTCTCCATCAAAGGCCCACCGCATAATCCCAACCTCACTTGTCAGTTGTGCTGTGGATTGCCCCCGGGTACCTGGGTCGGTATCTGGTGCTTGTTTATTTCTTGCGGATGATTTGGACCTCATCTATCATACTTTGTACTGCTACTCCGTGCTCTCTGTACGGAGAGGTGGTTGGTTTCTTGCGCTACGGTTTCTGATGTGCTTTTTTATTATTTATTTAGTTTTATTGTTTTTGATTTTTCGTGGCTAACCTGGTAGCCAGTTAATTCACGGCGATCGGTGATAGAGATCGAACATGAATCGACTGATCAACTACACATCGCAGGCTTGCAAGCTCCCCCTCTCTGGATATCAACCACAGCTGCATGTTTCACCATGACCCGTGCCAGTCAACTTCAACGGTTCTGCGGATCTTCTATTCTGTCGATTGTGGAAAACCAGCTATTCGCACTGTACTTCTTGTCTTCCGGTGTCTCCGCTTGATTGAGCATTCGTCCTGGATCAATTAGCGAGCTGTCAAATTCTGCACACTCAGATACCTCCACTTTCCCCATATTCATACGTACTTTGGTTGCTTGGGCCTCCTCTTCTCGATTATTGAGTCAGTACTTTGTTGTCTCGCCGTTCTCTATTGGATTGAAAACAATGCTTGTTTGTTTTAATATGTCCTGGTGTATTCTATATCAGCCGGTTCGTCCGGGTTCTCCGTTTTTGTTTCTTTTCTTTTTCTTTGAATGATACTTGCTTTTTGAACTTGTCTCTGTCTCGTCTTGAGACTTCCCCTCCCTTTCTTTTTGCCTTGTTTCCGCGTGTCGTTCGTTTTAGATCAGCAGCTGGTCTGTTCTTTACTCGTCGTGCTTAATATAGGTCGTTCGTTCCTTGTCATTCTTTACCCCTCCTGGCTTGAAGCCGTTGCATTCGTTTGAAGTTGGATCATTTCGTTTGATCTTTCGTTTTATCCCCCTTCTCGCGGGAAAGACCAAGATATCTGAGGGAGAATTCGCAATATAAATCCATGTGTCGATAAGGTTATCGATTTGATGCAGACGATTATTACCGATATTCATTTCAAATGGACCACGATTTGAGCACAGCAAAGACTGGCAAGGGTCAGCGCGACTATCTTCATTTCGAAACCCGGTCCCCATGGACCTTGGCGAACCTACGGACAGCACAACCATGGAAGAGGAGCGATGTGCCTTCAGAAAAGAAACCTAGAACTCTTTCCACCGGTAAAAGTGTGGCTTTTATTCTAGCTTTGGCAGGTATGCTTGTTCTCATGACTGATCTAGTAGCTTGACTGACCTATTCAGTTGGAATTGCCTTGATTGTCCTAGTATCTGTTTTTGTCATCTTTCGAAGGCGATATGGTCCGCGGTATACGGTCCGATGTTTCGTCACTGGGAAATGCCCCAAGACAGATCGACGAGCTCGATCTGCTGTGCCGGTATCCATCGAATCCGGGTTCCCATGCAGAGAAACATGCGCCATCCGCAACCTGACGAGCGCAAAAACGAAATCCGGGGACAGCAAGTGCGTGACAGGGACAGATAATCCCCATCGGATGTCCACACTGAGCCAGGCACAAACAGAGACCGATGGCGGACATTCAGCAGTGATCGATTCGAACCGTCTGAGTGTGCCACCGCGGGACTCCCATCCAGAGAAGACACAAACGGAGAACAGAGAAATTGGGAATACTGGACGCAGGAAACCACCACCACCCGCCTTGCAACGATCCGATCTCCGCGCAGCGACAGAGCAACTAAGGGCCCTCGCCCCAACAAGTCCTAACTCCAGTCGATTTACAACGAGCACTCAGTCCTCGGGCCCGCTACCATCCATCTACCGTATGGCGCTGGAATCCCGCAGCCACAAACGCAATAGCAGCAACAATACAAACTGCTGGTCCTTTAACCAGGACACACGCAGCGCAGTGGATAGTGAGGACCGTGTGCTGAGTTTACCATCGCCATCGCCTATGCTTCGGAATATCCTCCGGCCCAGCCCTAAACCCGAGCCGTCGCCTCCGCATGTATATCGAATGATCCAGCGACCGCCGTCGGCTCATCATTGTGATACGAGAGTACATGAGAATGATGTTGTTTTGCCTATGCTTCCACGGAGCATTTTTGCCGTGAATGATCTTGTTGTTAGTAAATAATATGTTGTTATCGTCATGCTGGAACTTTATGTATTATAATAGAGCTATACGTTGTAGCAATAATACCTAGTCATCATTCATTGAAGCATCACATAGAATCACCGAAAAGAATTAATACGTGTTCGACACCTCCATCGCATCAGTCCCCAACTCCATCCAAGTCAACCGCCCCCACCTCTCCGGCTTCTCAACCGCATCCACAAAATGCTTCAACGCCAACACCACCTGCGCCGCCCACCTCTCCGGACTAACCCTCCCAACCCCCGTAGCAATAGGCGTCATAAGCACCGTCTCTATCCGATCCTTCCCCCTCCCTGCATACATATCTGCCTCCTGCCGGCGATTATGTCTCTCAACCTCACACAGCAAACTCCACACACACTCATAAACCACCTCGCGATCCCAAACCACATTCGTAGGAAGCCGCATCGTCGGACAGATCGCAATCCACCGACACCCCCACTCATTCATATGCTCCTTCTCCAGCATCTTCTCCGGAAAACGCACCAACGTACACGATCCAGGCGGCGCGAATCCACGGTGCTTTTCATACAGCACGTCCTGCACTGCGTAGGTGAGCGTTTCATACGGTAGTTTCTGCCTCACGCAGAAGGAGCGCGAGATGGCGTCGTCGAAGGCGCCATCGAGCAAGCCGTAGGAGTTTGCGGGGGAGACGATGAGGTCGAATTTTGTGGTTTCGGGGACGGTGCGGAGGGATTCGTACAGGGTTGTTAGGGTAATTTTGGGCTTGGTGTCGTAGGCGCGCCAGTGTTTTGGGAGAGCGGATTCTAGGGCGCTTATGTATTTCTTCTCCATGCAGAGGAGGGTGATGGAGGGGATGTTGTGGGTCATTTTGGCTTTGTTTTGCTTTGTTTCTTTGGATTGAGGATGTGAAGAGTAATTGAAAAGTAGATGGTGTTTGTAGGGATGTTGACAGGTATAAGTTGACAATAACTGGAAGGAGCCTTGTAGACAGCCTTACGAGGCGGTTTCCTATTTGGGTGTCCGCAGGGGGGACGTCACGTGGGCGTTAGCACCTTAATGGTACCTTAAGTTCTGTCATGTTCGGTAACGTAATTCCCGAGCCACCCGGCCACCCATCCATCTACTATCTACTTTATTGGCATATTTATCAACCACAACACAGTAATATTGACTATATTATCTTTCTGGACAGGCATTTGATTTATGCCCTATATT